CAATCATCATAAAGACAAGAAATCATTTACCAGAAGGCACACTCTACCCTTCCAGTGGGATTCCTGAGGGAATCCTGCTTAGACTAGGCTATATCACTCTAGTGATATTTAGTACTACTGAAATGAATTCATAAGCTGTTTTTATTATTCAATTAATATCTGAAACATAGCAGATACTGATGACCACCTATTCTAAATATTTTTGACATTCACTATATTTGTTAATGTAAACTGTCCTTCAATTGCTATGATTGCTCCAAAGAACACTTACAGAAATAGTATTACTGTTTTGTACAGACTCATTAGAGTTTCAATATGTTACTTTGTGTGAGATGGGCAGCTATATAAATATGATAAATAAATAAATAGAATGTATATAATTAAACCGTGGACCCTCAATTCCCATTCTAACAGCATATAATAGTCATTCCGTGCTCATGCATTGAGCCAAATGAAGCTCCATGATTCTGAAATAATCCAATTACACATCTTTACCTCCTTAGTAAATAGGGCTTCTAATTCCTGTTCATCCAGAAAACCATCAGCATTGACATCTGTAAAAAAAAAATGTATATGAATATAAACGACAGAGACACTAACACACCCATCTACAACTCTAGATCACAATCAATCCCACTTTAATATATGCATCTAATGCAGTACACAGCAGAGCATGGTACTTTCAGCAGCGAGTTTCAGGTGATCAATTGGTTTTTAAATCATAATTAGAATAATGTAGAAATTCAAACAATATAATCTTTCTTTTCTTTATATAATAATTTTATTAAACATTACAATTAAAAAGATAAAAATGCAAACTAAAAAATAAAAAAAATAAAAAATAAAAATAGAAAAGAAAAAATAAAAATATATTAGAGAAAAAGAAAAGAAATATATAAAGAAATTACTTTCCCCTTTATTACAAGTATAAGTATTTTAGTAACTTATCACCTTCTCTTAAAATACAACAAATCATCACTTCTTCCCATATCTCATCTCTTATCTATAAAGAGATCCTTAAAGTCTTATCAGTCAGTCCTTGTTGGCAAAAGTCCATTAAGGGTTACCAGAGATAACAACATATCTATTTTAACCTTAATCAAATA